AGGAGTTGTGTTTTGCATTGAGAAAAAAGTGGCCTCGCCTCGATTCGAACTGACGCCCTACAGATGCACTACATGCAACTGCGTGAAAAACAAGTGCAAGAATGATAAACAACGAGAATCGTTCGGGGTGGCACGTGGCTGCTGGTACAATGTCTTTAACTCCACCACCACCACTGCGTAGATCTGCAGAGGCAACTGTCTCGTTCTGTCCAGTGTGGCTGGTCAGATGAGTTCTCTATGGTATCGACATCAGAAACAGTAGAATTGTATTGATGTATAGCATATTCGCCTTTGGTATCTAGCAGACTGTATCGTAATCGTCACTGTTGTTCGCTACAATACCCATGTTTTGATAAAATGGTTATGCATGAGCCCAGGTAAGTAGGATTGAGGATCGCCACTTACCTCCATTCGAGGTCTGGCAGAGGGGCTTATATCACTCGGTGCATCGCGAATCTTGGTTAAACAGTATTGATTGTATTCGGGTAAGGATTTGGTTCATTTTCAGTCTACTTGTCGCGCTTTTAGAAGGTCATAGTTGAAATCAGTCAGGCTTGAACTTCTTGTTGTTGTTCCACCAACATCAATGTCTAAAGTAGTCGAGGAGGAGCCACCACCACCACCAACACCGACAGGAGCAGGGGATGATACCACTGAGATGCCCCCGGAGATACACCGTGTACAGGATGAGCGGACTCCTGAGGTCAGAGTTCATGTCAAGGGGAGGCGGAGATTGAATGAAGCCTTACTTGAAAAGTAGTACTAGTAGTAGTACTAGTACTAGTAGTAGTAGTAGTAGTAGTAGTAGTAGTAGTAGTAGTAGTAGTAGTAGTAGTAGTAGTAGTAGTAGTAGTAGTAGTAGTAGTAGTAGTAATAGTAGAGTTACCGTATCACGCCCAACGCCTCGAATTCAGGTTCATAGGGCCACTTAGAATGTGTGATACCTATGGAGAACTCCATGATACATTGAATAGGACCATTAGAGATTTGGAGGAACTCAATGCTTTTGAGGACATCCGTGCTACAGTTGACCATACGCCCGGAGTAAGCCTTCAATCACTCACAAGCTATCACATCATCTTCGCAGTCGCCACCGGGCAGCGCTGATGTGACTTTGGAAGTAGTTGAAAAACAGCGCAATTACGAAGCAGGAGTAGACATGAACCGCTTGGGAGAGCCTGGAGCTGGTAATAAGAAATTCTAAACAGTGTTGGAATTTATGCACTCTAGCCTCAGCTGAGTGCAGTAGCTCCAGGAGTTTGCATACGAATTCGGGTAGAAGTGTACAGTTGAACTCATTGAGAATTTCACCTACACTTGTCGTTGAATACATTTATATTTCCCCACACCTTTTTAGATATGAGTATGAATATACCATATATTTTTGGAGGCCTCAGTTCGGCATCGCTCCGCTACAACAGGGCGTGGCCGGGATCACAAATGTTGAATGCGACTGTCAA